AGTGTTGTCGTTTTTTTTTTTTTTTTTTTTTACTATTTTACTGAAGTTTTTTTGCATAAACTGTGTTGAGGATGAGCTTACCAACAGTCCCTTGACCCACACACATGCTGTTGTGCGTTGCAGCTTTGCCATACCACAGCTTGCTCAACGATGGAATAGACACGTTGGGTAAGGATTCGTGCATGCAGTTAAAGGAGTTGTTAATGGTTACACTGAGCATCTGGTATTTTTCACATTCTCACTGATAACTGCAGGCTTTGGGGACTGGCTGTGTTCTTGTTTCTGTGGCACAACTACAGACATGAGTAGGCTGCTCTGTGTGTAGTTGCTGGAGGTGGTTCTGTCACTGAAAAATCTGCATGGTATCATTTATGGTAACCCAGGCAGTATTTTTGTGCTCGTTGAACAAAATGTGCAAACTTTTATGTTCCTGTTGGAGAAGATGAAGTGAGCTTCATCTGCTTTAGACACGTCACCTGCAGGTCTTTGCATCGTATTGTTCCCTGTTAAAACTGCTTTTAAGCACCGCTGCTCATCATGTATAGTGCTCTGTGCTGTACATCAGTATTTCCCACTGAAAATACAACATGTTGTTCTCTCCCTCAGTCAGCAGCCAGTCAGATGGAGAAAAGAGAAAGAAACAAAAATCAAAAGGAACCCAGGAGCTCAGCACCGGACTGTGTACTAAATTAGCCACACTCAAGGTATTTATTTTTGCAGACACCGTAAGCCAGTAAAATTCTAGCTTTCCACTATAAGTTTAAACGAGCAAAAATGTATAAAAATACAAAAGAATTAAAGCCATTGTCAGTAACCCAACAATTATTTTTTGATTCTCTTAAGTCTTTTGCACAGTTTTGTCAATCTGTCCATCACTAATATACAGGTAATAATGTATGTGAGCAGTCATTTTTTTAAGTTTGTAATATTTTAGTTAAAATGTTGTAATATGGCAAAGTTAGATATGAAATAGGTTTCAAGAAGGACCAACAACAAGGTTAACTATTTAAGTTGTAAAACTATTTATTACATCTTACAATTAATTTGAATTCTGTATAATTATTTTCTAAAGTAATTCTTTTGAATAGTTAGAACTTGTTGACTGAACAAGTGTAATCCCCAATAAATGTATAAATAAGAAATAAAATAACTAGACTTCTATTCTAGTTTGACATTTTCCTTCTCACCCGAGGAGTTTTCTCGATTAAAAAAAATCTGTAAAGAGTTCCAAGCTATTGAACTGTTTATGCAGCTAAATTCACATGCAAAATAAATTCACTCCCCTTCCTTCTGAGGGTCATTAGAGTCTTCGTTTGCCTGACTCTCGAGATATTTTGGTCACATGCATGAAGGTGTGGAACTGACTGGGCTTAATGCTGTATTGTTTATTTTGGAAGCTGAAATCTGGGACCTAATTATCTGCATACATGTCAACCCCTTCAAACATTTACCTGTAAAATGACCTTCTGAAATCCATAAATGTCATTAAAAATCCATAGTACTCTCACAGGCCGGGCTCTGAGATGTAAAGTTTTGTATGATTTTCTCTCGACATCTGTATACATGCAACATGGAGGAAAATCCTTGTAATTTACAGATAATTCTTTCAACATGACATGTATGCATTTGTATAAAAGTCTTTTCTTGTATGATGGCTTCCTTTATCCTCTTCTCAAAACATTGGTCAACTTTGTTCAAATTATGAACATTTTTGTCCTCAAAAGTGCTCTGTGTTCTTTAGTTAAACATCTCGTGCCAGCTGTCATCAAAGTGAATCATTAATCACTTAAGCCATATTAGTTGTGAAAATATGCAATTTTTTCCATTTTTTTAAATTTTCTGTATGCGTATCATCTATAAAAAAATAGACATTAAACAAAACAAAATGAACATTTAAATTGTAGCATAAGTTATATGGACGAGTTTGCCAGTAATGTGAAATCAGACAGAAAAAGAACAGTGCTTCAGATAATAATAGTGCTTCTGATAATCTTTGCAGATATATAACAAGGAACTGGAGGCAGAGTTTGGTCCTTTTGATGACTGGGTGACCACTTACGAGCTGTCCAGAGGAAAAGCCAATGAAGATGAGGGAGCATCTGAGGAAAGGGTTGTTGGGAAATTTAAGGTAAGTTTCACCCATGGATCCTGCACCTCAAGAAATCTAATCCATCTTCAAACCCGTTCTTCCGCTGCTTCAACAGGGACGATTCTGCCTCTACAAGCTGAGGGACGATGAGGCAGGAAATGAAATCACGGACACAAGTCAATTCGTTGTCAGCAGAGGAATCCCTCCCAACCACCAGGTCCAAGTCCTCATACGAGTCTACATCATTTCTGTGAGTCCTGCTCAGCCCTGTTCTTCAGATCATGGAGTGATTTTGATTAAAACCTGCACTCTTCTCAGGCAAAGAACCTACACCCATCTGATCCGGATGGGAAGGCCGACCCTTACATTGTTCTTCGTCTTGGTAAACAGGAAATCAAAGACAGAGACAACTACATTCCTAAACAGCTAAACCCTGTTTTTGGAAGGTAAGTAACTTTAGTTTCTATCATCTATTCTTTAGTCACCTTTCTGTGCAGAGTCACAGGGAGCTGGCACCTATATCCACAGAGGCGGCCCATCATAGGGCCACCTGGAGACAAGCGAGACAGCCATTCATGCCCTCACTTACACCTAACAAGGAGGGGGTATCATTTATTTTTTTAATGCAGTGCAATGCAGACAAGAACAATTCTGATTATTCTGGTTTTTATGGTAACAATGTCCTGTAGAGAAATGTAAAACGTTGAACCCTGAAGTACTGAAGTGCAGCATCCAGACTATTTTTGGTGTTCATACAACAGAGACATGATAACGAGCTGGCCGATCGAGACGTACAGCACCCTCTGTGCTGTAAGGATTTTAACTTTTAGGAAGTTAAAGGAAAACATTATTTTTGACAGGAGCCACACTATATGCAAGTTGTGAACACATTTCCACTCAGAGGAGAAAGCACAAATACAGCAATTGGTTGTTGTAATGCTAATAGGGGACTAACGAGTAAAGTGGCATAAAACTTTCCATCTATCTTGGAAACATAAATGCAACTTTTACTGCAAAGGATTTGTGTATGCATTGCAAAAAACATTTCCTGTGTGACATGTTTTACTGTTGGTCACTATTGTTGTGTGGGTCGTAACTGAAAATAATGAAGGCGTAATGTTTGATTTTTCATCTTACTGTGTTTTTTGTGGTGTCATCTCTAACTGGTACAGTGCTAGTTCCCTGTATCTCCAAAAAGGTTCGAATTATTTGAGTAGCTTCATGTCTACATTTTTCCACCCAGATCTTTTGAGCTACAGGCCACATTTCCTCAGGAGTCTTTGCTCTCCGTGGTCATCTATGATTATGACTTGGTGGGAGGGGATGACTTGATCGGAGAAACTCGCATTGATTTGGAGAACCGCTTTTACAGTCGACACAGATCCACCTGTGGACTTCCTACTGAGTACAGCCTGTAAGTGCAGGTGCTAGTTTTATATTCAGCTGAATGTGGGATATGTGGCATCAGGTAAAGCAAAATCCATATATCTTTTCACTCTGAAACTGTTTGTTTGTCAGTGGGGGTTATAATGCCTGGAGAGACTGTCTGAAACCATCAGAGTTGTTGTCGAAGATGTGTAGAGAGAATGGTGTGGACGGCCCTCACTTCAGTCCAGGACGTATCGTTGTGGCAGACAAAGTTTTCACTGGCAAGACGTTGTACATGGATGAGAGTAAAGGTAAGTCACACTTTAGGCTACCTTTCAGTCAGTACACTTGATATACAACACATGAGTATGGGGATTGTGCTCTTGCAAGACCAATGTGAAGAAGTTTCTTTCAACCCGTCTGTCAAGGCCAATGAAACTGCTGCATTCACGGATGGCCCCGCCCTCCTGGGTTATAACATGCAGTACATTCTCATTTCCTCAATCTTTAACTTGCTTTAACCTGATTACAGGTCCCTTGTATGTGACCTAGGTAGTGGACTGGAGGTGAGCTTGCTCCCTGCCCAGGGCGTCGCTACGTTTGATCCTGTTTTTGCTTGTTTAGGCTGCTAACATGCAACATTTGTTAACACACCTAGTGCAACTAATGGCCAATTTTTTTTGCTTCACTGTCTTCTAACCTCTTTAGCTTGCTAACCGGCATAAATTTGCCCACCCCTGCTTAGCCTGTTAACGTGGTAGAGCTTAAGAGCAGAATAACTATTTTTTTCCCAGTTTAGCTTGCTAACTGGAAGACAACTATCCTCTATTGTCTATTGTCACTTTGTGGTTCTTGTACTCCTTGACCTTACCGCTGCCTTTGATACTGTCGACCACAGTATCCTTGTATCTCGACTCGAGCATTGGGTTGGGATTACAGGTGTTGCACTACACTGACAGAAATTTCTGTGTCAAGGTTGGGAACAGTGTTTCTGCTAAAACATCTTTTCCATGTGGAGTCCCACAAGGCTCTATTCTTGGACCACTTCTTTCCATGCGCTACATGCTCCCGCAGGGTCCATCTTGAGGAAACATGGTATTTCATTCCATTTTTATGCAGACGATTGCCAGATCTACCTGTCCCTGAAACCAGCTAATGCAGGYTCACTTCACCCTCTCATAAAATGTCTGTACGACATTAAGACATGGATGGCTTCAAACCTTTTAAGCCTTAACGATCAAAAGACTGAAGTCATCATCTTTAACCCTAGCTCAGCTACCACCTCTGATCACTTGAACTTAGATTCTCTCCAGCCTTATCTCAAACACTCAGTAAAAAATCTCGGGATGGTTTTAGACTCAGACCTAAAGTTCAGTAAACAAATTAGTTCCGTTCTGCAGAAAAGCTTTTTCCAACTGCGRCAGGTAGCTAAGCTCAAGCCAGTGTTGTCCAGACCCAACCTGGAGACTTTAATCCATGCATTCATTACAACTCGCCTGGATTATTGCAATGCATTGTATGTTGGAATCAGCCAGGCCTCCTTTGCACACCTTCAGCTCGTCCAGAATGCAGCAGCTCGGCTTTTAACAGGTACACGTAGGTCTGAGCATATTACACCAGTTCTCTCCTCCCTTCATTGGCTCCCCGTGCAAACTAGAGTTGACTTTAAAATCCTGCTATTAACCTATAAATGCTTAAACGGCCTTGAACCCCTCTACCTCTCAGAGCTACTGAAACCATATGCTCCTTCGAGGGCTCTGAGATCATCCAATCAGATGCTTTTGGAGATTCCAAAAACAAGGTTGAAGCTCCAAGGAGATCGGGCGTTTTCAGTCATTGGTCCCAAACTCTGGAATAACCTTCCCCTCAACATTAGGCAGGCCACTTCCGTTCACCAGTTCACGTCATTGCTAAAAACCCATCTTTTCTCTCTGGTGTTTCATACTGAGTGAGCTGATTTAGCGCAGTTTATGTGTTTCTTTTAATGCTAGTCTCATTCACTGGATGATATTTTTTATTTTATTTTTACTTGCTGTTTTTAATTGTCATCATTGCTGTGTGTTACAGTGTTCTGTTTTATTGTTTTATTTGTTGTGAAGCACCTTGATAACAGTTTATCTGTTTTAACTGTGCTATACAAATAAAGATGACTTGACTTGACTTGACTTTTGTCATAATAATGGTACTAGAGAAGAGTAAGAAAAGGTTCACTGACTCTATTAAAGCTGGCAAGGCCAGAATCCCTGGTTCATGTCCATGTCCAAGTGCTTGCAGCATTTGTCCAGTGTGTCTCAGCATGTTGCATGCTTTGTATCCAACTCCATAAGTTGACTCTGGAAAGATAAGTGAGATTCCTGACAAAATTACTGACAAAATTCATCTGCAACCAAGACTCTTCAACAAATTGCAGAGTTGGAATCCAAGAAGATGGAGGACAGTTCTACAGCACTATGGAGTCAGCAGATGGAAGGAACCCTTCCCAATGGGGACGTGGATCTGGTCAAGTTCCACATGCAGACTATGCTGCTGGGAGACAGCAAGATCTCTCAGGTGGTCTCTCTGAGGATGAGACAGGAGGTCAGGAGGTATAGAAGATGTCGAAAGAAGCGGTGGAGATGCCTGTTGAAGTAGATGCATCCACTCCAGCCCTGTTCGAGCTGTGTTGCAGAGCGGCCAAGAGTCTCAACATGTAATGGCACGCCCCTCCACCGCGACAACGCCAGACAAGTCTCACGGAAAATAATTTTCTCCCAAAGCAGCAGACTTTGGTGAGAAACAGGCTGTCGGATTTTCTGGATTTTTTTTAACTGAGCTGATACAGACATGGGCATCCCCCAAGCTCCATTGTCTTTGCCTTTCTCCCAGTTTCTGGACCTGGAGAACATGGGTCCAGTGGGTCTGTCACACATCCCCCCAATGGATGACACACTGGCAGCCAAGCTGAATGCATCAGCCAGCAAAAGACACTCTCACTGGCAAGCAGTGCTAGTTCTCTGTCGCACAGCTGGAGCAGATCAAATGAGCAGGGTCTCTGTGCACGCACAGGCATACCAGGCTAAGAAGCTGCAGGAGCTGTAGAAGGCATTGAAGTCCAGGAAAAGCTCCAGTGGGCTGCTGGATGGGGTCCACAGAATGGTGGATTTTTTCCTTCAGTTGTACACCACTGCAGGGATTGCACTCAGAAAAGGCATATCGGAAATGGTGGTCACGCACCGACGTCTGTGGCTCATCCTCACTGAGTTGCTGGAGTGCCAGTGTTCAGACTTTCTCCATCAGGCTGTTGAAACTACAGGACTGTTTGGCCAAGCTCTGGAGAAGATCCAGACCCGCTGAGATCGGAGAAGGAAACAGGGGGAAGCCCTGCATCTGTGAATGCAGAGGCGAGATTACTCCCAGCCCAGAGCCCCCAGTGATCACAGGAATGCACCTCCGCATTAGCACTCCCTTGCCCCAGTTTCATAAAACAAACTCCAAAAATGATGGGGAGAGAGCTCAGACAAACGGAGCTCAACTCTCTACCCACTTAAAACTGTGTCCAGTAGAGGGCACAACAAACCCACAAATAAACACCATTAAGGCTCACTTCTAATGTCAGAGCATGGCACATGTGCGCACCATCACAATGGATCATTGAAACTGTAGTTCAAGACAACTAATTACAATTCATCAAGCCTCCTCTTTCATTCAGAGGAGCCCCGCTGTCGCTACACCTCACTCCAGCTCTCACAGAGGAGATCCGCTCACTTCTAACTAAGGGTGAAATAAAAATTGTCCTTCCACATAAGTCTAACAGCAGTTTTTACAGCTAAGGTTTTGCGATCTCAAAGATAGACAAGGGTCTCCGTCCCATACTTGATTTGAGACAATTAAACAAAGCTGGAAATTCAGAATGTTGACTCTGTGCCACACAATGCAGTCTGTGCACCCAGGGGACAGGGTCACATCAGTGGATTTGAAAGATGCATATTTTCACATCTCAATCCTAACTAAACAGAAAATTTCTGTAGGCTACGTCGCCTTTGAAAATAAGGCATATCATATGCTCGGTTTTTCTCTGTCTCCTTGAGTATTTACAAAATGCCTCGAAGCAGCACAGATGACATTTAGGGCCAGGGGCAGCCGAACCCTTGACTACCTGGACAATTTATTAATACTGGCGGACTCTCCTCATCAAGCCAGAGCCCAAAACTCTGCTGATGTCACACCTACAGTCTCTGGGGTTTGTCATAAACACAGAGAAAAGTCAGCAGATCCCCAGTCAGAAAATCTGTTATGGAATTAGAGCTGTGGAAAATTATACAAAGTTATCCTAGCGGAGGATAAAAGCATTCAGTCAGTGTTTCTATATTTCAGCATAATCATCTGCTAACTAACTGTGTAGGGGTCACCTCGAGTGAAGAAACAAGATTTACTGCCTCGAAGCAGGCCTCGGACAGGCCTGACGAGAGGACAGGAACTCTGTCACAAACTGAACTCTATTTAGGCCATGACAGGTCATTCCAACCGTGGAAGAGAACCCCTCAGTTCTCTTAATCAGATAATGGACAGAACAATCTCTTCTGTTTGTGATTCATTTGTCATTTAACTAAGAATGTTTATGCATTTGTTAAATCATGATAATGACTGTCACAGGAAAAGTGGAACCACTTCTTTTCTTTTATCGTACCTTAAAGATTTATAATGGTATGAAAAAATCAGAGAATCTGATTACAATGTTTTGATTGTGTTTTTGTGTAAATCACTGTTTTTATTTTACTGTGAACACAGTAATATAATTGTGGATTTTTCCTGAGAAAATCTTTCATTTATCTGGACTAACAGAAGGTTCAGAACTGATTATAAAACAGAAATGTTAATTAATCATCATAAATGTTTTGCAGTGATTTCTCTTAGTCTATCAGAAGAAAGCTGAAAAGAGGTTAGTTATCATATCATGTTGTTGAACAACCACAGAATTTTAACCTTGGGCTGGCGCTGGCTGGCAAATCTTTATCTTTCTTTCTCTGACTCATCTCTAAGCCTGAGGGCGGAACCAAAGTTTGTCCGTTTCTTTTACTAACCCGCACGGCTTTGAGCGACACACTCTTCTTCCTGATTCCAACCTAGGCAGACAGCTGGGATTTTCTCCGGAGAAACCCCAGTTTGGCTTTAAGTCAGATCCCATGAGCTAACTCGGAAAGACTTCACAGCCAGGGAGCTGGCACGCCTGCCGGTGGTCTCACCCCGAGGCTGAGCCTCATGAGTGGGGTTTTAACTCCCGAGGGGAGATTTTATTTTGGAAGGAGGAACTGGATACGGCTTGAATTTTTCTGGCTTGGACTGAAACAGACCAAAGTTACCTGTAAAAACACTTGTTCGCCAATGACTGGTAAGCGAGCCGACATCAGTTCCCTGACTGATCAGAGGCGAGCCAGCTCCTACCCTGAGGGTGCGTTAGGAAGTCATTATCAGGTAAAAGCTGATGTGTTCGGAGTGACGTGTCATGTGGAACCTGAGCTTAGAAAAGACGTGCAGTTCCGGTTGACCCACACTTTGATAAAAGTAAAAGTAGCAGCAACATAATAATCTTACTTTTCTCCTTTCCTTGTTCTTAATTTGCCAAAACTTAAGCTAAAAGTGCCAGTAAAATTGTTTGGTTGTTAACATCAGAACTGACATTTTACTGTTCTATATAAGTAATCTGAGTTGATGTGAATTGAAATTCGGACGCGGGTTTTATCTCATTTAACTCTGACGCTTGTTATTGGAATAACCACAATCAAGTGTAACTTATGACCTGTTCAATTTGTGTAAATAAATGATTGCATAGTCTTTTATGAATCAACTTGAACTCGTCTGAACGTTCACTTATTGTGTCACTTTTCACTTCGCACAGTCAAGAAATTAACAAGTAATGAGAAATACCTTGGTAAAAGTTTCCTCATGACCTTGTGTATGAGAGATGTGGGAAAAGCTTAATTCACTTTAAGCTCACTCTTAAAACTGAAACTGCCAACACCTTTTAGGTTTTAGGTTTATTTTATTTAAAATGAGAGGAATATAAATCTTCATTTCCAGCATGCATTTATTTGTTTGTAATGATGATCAGTAGTCGACACCTCATGTTTATGTACATGTGTCCACGTCTTAGATGAACCGGTGGAGTCCTATGAGCAYCTGTCTCTGAAGGTCCTGCACCGGTGGGCTGAGATCCCAGCTGTAGGGTGCAAACTGGTGCCAGAACACATAGAGACCAGAACTCTGTACACCAAGGCCCGGCCTGGAATGGACCAGGTATTACTTTATTTATCTTTTAATGAAACCAGTAAATACAAGATTTATATCTGCAGATTATTAACATTTGAAGTAAACCTGGTTGAAGGTATAGGTGACACTGAAAAGCAACAAAATTGGGTATTTATCAGTCAGTTTTACAGATATCAAGCAAAATTTTGGTGTGCTGATGTTCACTTACAGTACATACTGCGAGCACTAAAAGATTACACAAGATTATTTTCTAAAATTATGATAAATGTTGAAATCAACTATGTTTGTCAGTAAAATTGATTGAAACTTTTAGGAAGTAATCAATGAACACACATCTACAACTGATTATCCTTTACAGTCAACCTGACTAAAAATGACTGCTACACTTAATCTATTTTAACTAGCACAAAAATGGCTTTAACTCTGTCWTTTTTTTTTACAGATATTRAGCTAATATTTGGTGTGGCAGTRTCTAAGWAGAAGAATCAATCAATCATTCTTAACACAATAAAATCTTAGTTTAAAACTCTAACAATGGTAGTTTTCTTTCAAGAAATGTTAGCTGTTAAATCTTAAACGTAATTATTGACAGGCTGAAATCCAGTTTTAATTCCTTTGTCTTAACTCCACTCCTGTTTTATAGTAAAGGACCCAAATATGGATTAAATATAGTTAGACCATATCCATACGATAAACAATACAATTTATTTACATGTTGCTGCTTTTTCAAAGAAATGAAATATATGTGTTGAAGCTGCTCAACTGTTTGTGCAATGTTTAGTTTTGAGCTTTTTTACTCTACACTCTGTGTGTGTGTGTGTGTGTGTGTGTGTGTGTGTGTGTGTGTGTGTGTGTGTGTGTGTGTGTGTGTGT